TGTCAAGTTACTTTTTTGCTCATGATTTGTTAATTAAATGTACTAAAAATATAAAAAAAGATAAAATTTGCCTAGGGCTGCAGCTTGTTTCATGTGCAAGTTACTTTATCATTTCTACCTCTTCCTTTTTCACAGTCCTGTGTGTCCATGCGGACCCTATAGGTAGTCTAAGCCACGCCGAACCACAGATCTCCGGAAGTAAGAAAAAAGTGAATGCAAGCGAACAGAGCTATGCTCTAATCCCGTTTATCATGAGCCATGGATTTCACAGATGTCTGTGAAGTTTAAAGATACATTCTGATGCCAAGAAGGCGCTTGTTTACAAACGGGAGCAAAAGTTATTTTAGGTTTAGTGTGAAAGTATGTCCAGGACTACAAATACGCCTCAGCAAATTTACGTCATTGAGCAAGACTCCGAGAAGAGCAGAGGAAAAATGGCTGCGAGCTCAGCGAGGTTCGAATTCTTCTTTCAGGAGGAAAGAACCACCATAAATCTGGCCGTGTGGTTAGTATCAGCTACGCTAGGGCAGAGGAGATTCTGTGGTGACGTCATATACGCAACGTATTGACGTCAGATTTGTAGTCGTAGTAATTACGAATAAATCTCAAATTATGTGACGTAGTCAGAACACGCTAATAACTTTTCATTTAAATAGAAGTACTACATATGTGTGCATCAGGGCGTAATGCAAAGCTCTTTTAGCCAAGTTGACTTGCCCATAAGCTGACTGGAAAGGGGAGGAGTGTTAGGCTCCCTGAGTGGTGAACATTTTGACAATTAAGTAGAAAGTTGTCATGCAGTTCCTGTAAACTTGAAATCAAGACAGGCTCGAAAAGCGTTCAGCAGTTCTGCAAATTATTTAAGAGAACATTGATCTGATGATCATGCTGAAAGTGATGGAGGACATTCCACACTACGGCAAGTGTGTAGGGATGATTTAGACACTTCAGAATTCCAATTGGAAATGTGTTACCAACAGCTACAGTCCTGAAAACTACTGTATTAAGAGTTCAGTGGCATAGCAATGACTAAAAACATGAAATCATGTCGTCTGGATCCTCCTGCAGCAGATCCAGGTGCACTGCCAAAGACTTCCTGCTCACTCAGTTTAAATAAATCATCCAGGAAAAGAGTCACTCAGGTTAATCCTGCTTTAACCGTACATAACTGGTCCATATTGGTTTTGATCTGTAAATAATTGTAACGTATTATAAATAATCTTGTCTCCTTACCATCTTTTCATTTTCTGTTCAGGTAACATGTTTAAAAACATCAGTAGATAATAAAACTGGTGATAAAATGAATGATCAATAGAGTTATCAGTTAGTATTTGACAAGTTTAATTTGCCACACACACACACACACACACACACACACACACACACACACACACACACACACACACACACACACACACACAGGAATAACTACGGGACCCGTGATACAAACTTGTTCTGGCTGATTTCTGCTTAAAATGTAATTTAAAAAACAAATATACAAATGAAAAATGTCTATAAACAGAACCGCTTCAAGCTTTTTAGTTTTCTACCGCTAGTTTTTAAACAAACTTATGTTCAAAACTTCGTAGCTCTCCCCATTTTCTCTTCTTGTTGAAAATCCACAGCCGGTGCGCAAAGCATGCTGGGATAGCCTTGTTCTGTGAGGATACAACAGCCCCGTCCTCGAAATGTGGGTGGAGCGAGGATGCATTTGAGGATGCGAGAATGAGTATTCTTGGAATTCGGACAGTACTCGTTGCTGCGCTGTGACATCATCGACCTAAAAAAGCGTCCTCACAAGCATCCTGACCCTGGATTTGGACACATCCATAGGCTCACCCACCTTGACTCTTGGTGGGGAAGGCTGTTGTTGGTTTTGTGTCCAGGAAACAGCAGAGGACATCTCGACTAGCAGAAGCTAACTGTTAGCATTAGCAACTCCACCACATGGCAGAACTCTTCCAGGCTTGTGTTATTTGTGAAGATAAAACATCCATGTTACAAAACAAACAGAGTCAGTGGTAGAGTCGCGTTACTGTTATCCAGTCCAAAGAGATATGTCCAAATATCAGGAAATAAGACTCCAAATCCTGTCGTCTGAAGCTACTTCCTCTTCTGGCTGAATTATCCATGTTGAAACATGTGCACCGGAGCTTTGTTTCCCCCAGAGTACAATTTACAAGGACTTCATTCCTACTAGAGACCCCAGCAAATGTATGAGTGACAGAACACTACACATGATTTATTTCAGCCATTTTAGTTTTTTTCTAATGTCATTAAAATCTGTTTGTTGATGCTTTTCTGCAGCTGGCAGAAAATGGTGTACACTAACAGATTGTTGGTAACTAGAATAAACATTAATTACCAGGGTAACTGAGTAAATGTGAGCATATAAAAAGTATAATATACCAATATAACTGAGAAGTCCAGTGTATCCGAGGACGCGCACACACGCTGGCATTAACCCAGAGGGGGGTGGGTTCGAGCTTTAATTGCTGACACCATAGCTCTGGGCTCTCTAAACCAAATAGGTTCCCTTGCAGGATACATAATCCATTATCATAAATCGGATGCGCCGACACAGACAGGTGCTGCATGAATAATTAAAGGTCAGTACATTAGCACTCATGTGGAAGCATGCGTTTGAGCCCACGTCACAGAGGAGGCTAAAAGCTCCACAAAATCCCTCCAACCACATCGAACAGCTTCATGTTTTGTTTCAGAAACAATAGACACGTTAGAAACTTCCCCATCCTCCGAATCAGGAATATCTGAAGGAGGAAATGATGGATAAGACGCAGCTCGGAGCAGAATCTGTCCCCTCTTCTGCTGCTCATTCATATCTCCTGGTACCTGTCTTTGAACCTACAGCAAGGTAGCTGGGTTGCTCTGACTCCATAATAGGGTCCATGGAGCTGGAGGCAGAGACGGCGAAAGGTCTGCAGAAGCTAGAAGACTTCATGTCTGAAGATTTCCATACTTACATTAATTACTGTACACTTCAGGCATATTCATTTGGAATTCTGTCTGTTGAGATAAGCTCCTGCTGCAGATAGGACGAGAGAGGAGCCTGGGAGGAAGGCCAGCAGCTCCAAATATCTATCTCTAAAAAAGTTGTGTGATCTTTTATGACATGTGGTTGGAATTCAATCCGTCCAGGCTTTCTGTAACACTTTGAAAATGCTCCCGAAATTTACAAAAGCATCAGCAGCAATGAAAATTACATGAACAAGTTCAGAAAGTTGTGCTAATCGCTTCAGAAAGTGACACTTGTATAGATTCCTTACACGTATAAAGTGAATTATCAAATTCGTCCTTGTTTTCTTATCTGTGAGTCATAATTATCAAAATGACATGAAATATACTTCAAATAGGCTATTTCACTGTGTGTAATAAATCTATATAATATAGGAATTTCACTTTCTGAAATGAATGGAAAATGAATTAAACTTTTATAATATTGTAATTCACTGAGATGTGTCTACAGACATTTATGAGAAGCACCATTACAAACATGCAAAGATAAGTTTTAAAAACACATCTGTGGTATAAAAAACATATTATGACTTTAAACAGGTTATAATGGTGCCATGGTTGATGCTAACCATGGCACCATGAAGGTTTTATCACTAAATCCCTCTCACATGAAGCGATTTCAGCTGTTTTAATCTTAACATTTTCAGTAGCTTCTAGAATGAACCGTTTCAGGGCTCTGTCACTCTTAAAGAAAACAAGCTGAAGCTAGCCCCGCCCACCTATCCCTCGCTCAGACTGCTATAAGCTAAGATGCTCTGATATCCGGGAAGGGTTCTGAGTTGAGCCGGTGCTCCTCCAGTGTCAACAGATGAGAGGTGCTTCTGTGTTAATTTCCCCGTTTGTGATGTCACAATTGGGGAATTTTTTAAACGGCTTGTTTTAGGCAGATAATTCATAAAATCAAACACTGACAGAAAATCAATGTCTTCTTTTTTCATTTAGAGTGTTAATGGAGGCAGTAGACACCCACATGGCAGCACAAAAGGTACGTTTGTCATGTTCTGTGTCCCTTTGTTCCCCAGCCCCTCCAGTTCCCACTCCAGGTTTTCCTTTTGTGTTTCATAGCGCCCTCATGTGTCCTTTGCCTGCGTCTCATTTATGTGTCTCTGTTTTCCTCATTTGTCCCCTGGTCTTCAGCCTTCCAAATATATCTCTCAGTCTTCTCCAGTCACCCCTCTGCAGCCAGTCATCCCTCTGCAGTGTTTATAGTTTCAGCTTTTCATTTTTATTAGTCTCTTTAATATGTTTTGTCCCACCGATTTTTGTAGTTCTTCCTCCCTTTAGAATTTTAGTTATATGGTTGCTTTTCTGTTTTAAGGTTCACTCTTTGGTCATGTTAGTTTCTTCCCTGATTAGGCCCAGATTAGTCCTTTTACCTGGTCCTCCCCCCACACTCCACACACCTGCAGCTCATCTGCCTCCCGTTATGCCCCAGTGTATTTAAGCCCCGTCTTGTCTCTGTGTCTTGTCAGTCCATTGTCGTTGTCAGTGTTGTTTTGTCCGTCTCGTGTGTTCTCCTGATCTTGCTCATGAAAGAGCTTCTGTTTTGCCTTTTTTGCCAGCATTTGCCTTTGGATTTATGCCCAGCCGCCTAAACTTAAAGGATTTTTACTTCATATCCACTTCTGCCTCGTGTCATCCTGGGTTACTGCATTTTGCGTCCAAACCATCCTCTCAACGTGACAATGTTTAGCAAAATATGTCTCCTTTAATATTGGTCAATCAACTTTTAAACAGCCCTCCACATTAAACTGAGCCATGACTGACTCATTTGTTTAATCTGGCATGACATTGAATCCTGGAATGTTCTGACAATCAATGTTTGTCTTCTAATAAAATTAACAGAATCCCAGGAAAATCTTCACCAAACTCATCTGTAATGAAAACAATTATTATATGCAGCTCTTTTTGCATCATAGTTAAAAACTGTTTTATGCAACATTATAAATTAAAAAAGGAGAACATTTTAAAAAATATACATCACATTTATTGGTTCTGACACCAAGAGTCCGTACAGAGTCTTTGTCTATTGAGTTTGGGCACTAAAGGTTAAGTACCTGTTTCCTACTTCCATACATCCAACAAACTGTATCACCAAGCATTGCTACCAAAAACAGAGTTGGACATAGCTGATACACACCACTGTTACTTGTCTAAAGGTAACACAATGTACAAAAAAAGCAATTCTTGAAATAGTAAGAGTCTCAGGTCCATATAAAACGTCTTTTCTCCTCAATATGTGAATAAGAAAACAATGCACTTATCTCTACTCGGCTTCTGCTGCATTGCTGTTAGGCAGCCAAGGGGTAAATTGATGCAGATAATGAAAAGAAACACGCCCACTGATCCCTGTGTTACCACTGCAGCAGCTTTCAAGGAATCGTTCATGCTCAGTGGATCCTTAGAGCTGTAGGAGCCGTCCAGAAGTGGTTAGATGCCAGTCAATAACGGGGGCAGAGGATGCTAAATAAAACTGTTAAAGAAATATTTCTAAACAAAGTACACTTAAGTACAACACTACTGTGATGTTCAGGGGAAAAAACGGCATGAATAAAACGTCCAGGGCTTCAAATTAAACAGGAAGGAGAAAAAGATGGACTCCGACAAGCTGTGTGGTAACTGGCTGACTCAAACCCCCCATTGGCACGCCTCAGGCCCTTTGAGATGGGTAAGGCCAAAGCAATCAGGCAGTCAGAGGCAGTTAGGGAGCAGAGGAAGGGTGGCCTCCTTCAAAAATGTGAGGACGCCACAGTTTCCTCACCAAGAAGCTGAAGGCACCAGAACCAGGAGCAGTGCTGTCCATATTAGGCTCCGTGGCGGGCAGTGCACAGAGCACTGGTTGCTTTTTGCTCGAACACCTATGAAAGAAAAAGGGGGAGAGGGGTGAGTCGGTACTGATGGAGCCAAAGCTGCTTTCATTTAGGATGCTTAGTGGGTCCATTCATCTTCCCAAAGAACTGGTTTTACGGAATCTGCAGCTCCAAGAGAATTTTTCAAATAAAAAGCATAAAAAAGGAAAATAGTGAAAGAAAACAGAAAGTAGGAGAAAATCAGTAACCCATTTGGCCTCAAAAGCATCCTTATCACACACAGGACCACAAGCCTTCTGTTCCTTCTGTTGCTTTAGAGGTAATTGGCTGTGCCCGAGAAGGACGGTGTGAGTGGGCAGGGTAATTAAAGCAGAATTAAGCAAAGGCAACTTGACTCACAATAAATGAGTTGACAGCAATAAGGCGAGAAGGGTAAACAAGAGACAGCTTATGTGTCGAGGTATAATTTCAGAGGCTGCGTGTGACGGCGCTCACCAGAGGAGGTGACGACTCGAACCTGGGAGCTGAACGCTCCCTCTCCACCTTCACTGAGGGCGCGAACGTCAATGGTGTATGTGCCCCCCTCTGGCAGTGAAAGCATGGTGGAGGGGTTAATGGTTCTTGTCACCTGGATGTGGCCTCGGCCTTCCTGTTTGAGTAACACCTACGAGAACACAAAACCACTTAAGGTTTACACGGTAAATACACTTTACCACATTCCATTTCCCTCCTGTAAAAGATGAAGCTTAGAAGCAGTTAGTGACTGCATGGTCTGTGTTTTAGCTTGCTTACAAGACTTGGATTTTAACAATAAATTTGCAACACATTTCCGTATTTCCTGTACAAAAATGAAGAAAACAAATTTAAATCTGTAATCCACCCGCTTCTTAAAGAAACACGTCTTGACCCTTCTCTCCATAGCAGCTTCAGACCCATCTCTAAACTTCCGTTCGTCTCTAAGGATCTTGGAAAAGGTTGTGGCTAAACAACTCACAGCTGTTCTTGATGAACATAACATCTATGATAGTTTCCAGTCAGGTTTTCGTAGAGCTCATTTTACTGAAACAGCTCTTCTTCAATTCAATTCAAAAATACTTTATTAATCCCAGAGGGAAATTGGAGTTTCAGTACACACAATTCTGAGATCAGACATACATACATAGACACATGACATGAATTGGTGACTGTGGTCATTCGCAACCCGAGTCGCGCTACCGTAATAGATCAAGAGGGTTCATATGAGGATCAAGTCAAGGGGAGGGGAAAAAAAGGCACTTCAGAGTTACCCTCCACCGAGAGGGCAGCTTTGCTATGCAAAAAAACACCTCAGGGTCTCTAATGACCTTCTGAGTCACAGTGATGCAGGGGAATGTTCTGTTCTGGTTCTGCTGGACCTGACTGCAGCCTTTGACGCTGTTGACCATCACCTGCTACCGGACAGACTGAGGGACTGGGTAGGCCTATCAGGATCTGCTCTGGAGTGGTTCTCCTCTTATCTGTCTGAGCGCTCCTTCTCTGTAGCCCTCTGTAAGTTTAGGTCCTCTACCACCTTCCTCACCCACGGTGTCCCACAAGGCTCTGGGCTGGGGCCTCTACTCTTCTCCTCTATCTGCTTCCTCTTCAGCACATCCTGAGCTCTTTTAAATGAGTTTCCTACCATCTTTATGCAGATGACATCCAACTGTACGTCTCCTGTAAGCCCCATAAGATGTCAAGCTGCAGCTGTTACACTCCTGCTTAGAATCCAGTAAAACCTGGATGGCTGGGAGCTTTATTCAGCTGAATGAAGATAAGACTGAGATCCTCATCTGTGCCCCAGACAAGCTGGTTCCCAAAGTCAGAGTCTTTCTTGGTCAGCTTGTTTGTCACACCAAACCTTCTGTCAGGAATCTTGGTGTGACCTTTGACCCAGCTCTCACCCTGGATTCTCATGTCAGTTCTCTTGTTCGCTCTTCCTTCTTCCATCTCAAGAAAATTGCTGAGTCCCATTCTGTCCTGCTCTGAACTTGAAACAGTTCTCCACACCTTCATCTCCCCACGCTTAGACTGCTACAACTCTCGTTTCACGGGTCTGAGCAGAACCTCCCTGAACCGTCTACAGGTGGGTCAGAATGCCTGTGCTCGGCTTCTGACCAAGTCCTCAAAACACACCCACATCACCCCGTTTCTCTTCCAGCTTTACTGGCTGCCAGTCAAATTCAGGGTTAATTTCAAGATCCTGATTCTGGTCTATAGGGCCTTACATGGACAAGCACCATCTTACATTGGTGATCTTCTCAGTCCCTACACCCCCAACAGGTCCCTGAGGTCCAGTGGCCAAAGCCTACTGGTTGTGCAGCACCAGGCTAAAGACCAAAGGTGACAGATCATCTGCTGCTGTGGCCCCCAGACTCTGGACCTCTCTCCCCCTGAGCCTGAGATCAGTGGACTCAGTGGACTCCTTTAAAAAGCAGCTGAAGACTCACTTGTTCAAGCTGGTTTTTGTATGATCTTCTTCGCCACTCTCTCTTTATTCTGCTCTCCCCACCTATTCCACCTTTCTCAGGATCCACTGATTTCCCTCTTTCCTATTCACTCTCTCTCTCTCTTAACATTTTTTTAAATCACACTTGTCTATTTTTTGCTCATTTTAAATATATTGTAACCATTTTCTAAATTCTTTTTAAAATTTTTACATTTTTTGAAGCGCCTCGTGATTTTTATCTTGAGAGGTGCTGTAGAAATGAGATCTTCTTCTTCTTCTTCTTCTTCGAAGACGCAAATCCTTTTTCTAAATAAAGTGCTTAAAGTAGCTTTCCGGAGTTTTCTGCTTTCAGAAATTATGTATGTTTTTTTCAGAAATCTGTAAAAGTGATTATCTTATTATGTACTGCAATATAATATAAGCAATATGTCTTTTTATTTTTATTTTTGCTAAGCATGCCCCTGCCTCGCAGAATTTCGTGCAATAGGAAACTGAGCGCCGACCAGAACTAACCAATAGCGTTAAACTACCGCTTACATGCTTCAAATTTAAGGAAGTACCTTGGCTGATGCAGAGTTGATGAACTTTTCACAGACAAGAAAGTCTTTAAAATCTAAATATATGAAAACACAACATGACATGAGAATAATTCTTGCAAAACAGCATGTTTTAGCTCTGTTTGTCGACTACAGAAGCACATTTATAAGCAAGAAATATGAGGTCGCCATCTTAAAAAAACAGAGCGACAGACTTTTTGTGTGATATGCTTGTCAGCCACTAGATGGTGCCATCGGATAAGAGAAATACTCCAAAAAGAGACTAAGTACCTAAATCAGCTCTTGACTGAAAAGCCCAAGTCTAAATAATCCAAAATTGATGCCAAAGCCATTTCAAATGAGCAGTTGCTAACTTGTTCCGCTCCATCGCATCATCCCGCCCACCGGGATGCCAGTCACACACCGCGTTGTGACTGGCATAACACAATACTGCTCAGGCCAATGGTAGACCTGCTGAGGCTCAAATGAAGCCTCGCTAGACTGTATAGTAAAATAAATTTGCTTTGGCAACTGTGACAGCAGTGTCAGTCACCTCAGGGATATGGACTTCTGGTAATGTTTGTTTTTCTGTGTTCTGTCCAGGATGACTGGTTGGTGCACACAATCGGTCTTCTGTTTATGAATGCATGTGTTAATTTTGTATTTCTATTTGAGTTACCAGTGACTTGGAGTTGCCCATGGAGTCTCACACCTGCAGCTCATCTCCTCAGGAAGCCTAATCAGCACTCCTGGGATCTACCTACTCCCAAGGGAGGGGAGATTCATGTTTATGCTTGTGTTTAATTTAATGATGATGTTTAATTTAATGTAGATGTTCTGTTATGGATAGGAAGTTTGTAATTATGATTTAGTTATTTGCATTACCTGAATTGATTAGACTGGTTAGTTTGTGTGTGTGAGGGTGTGTATGTTAATTGTTCCCCTCTTGTATGTAGAGTGGTCTGATCAGCCACTATTTAAGTTGAACCTGGTGTGTCTGAAATGTCTTTTGTTTTTCTGGATAGTGTGTCGTGTGCTGTGATTAGGTTAAGTTCATGTTAACTTTGAAGCTGCTCCAAAATAAAATGGAGTTTTCAGTCTCATGAGCAGTGCTTCTCTGGCTGGTTTGTGCACATCAACCAGTCATTCTGGACAGAACACAGAAAAACAAACATTACCAGAAGACCATATCCCTGAGGTGACACACTGCTGTCACAGCAGCTGGCAGTCTAGATTTCTAATTCCAATATCTGGGAGAGGATCTAAGTAAAACTGCTGCTCTTCCAGCTTGACTAAAAATAGATTTTATTCCAATTACCCTTTTTGTGACATCACAAACAGGGAATTTTTGAATCAGCTTTGAAACCAAACACTGACAGTAAATGGATGGAAGCTTTTTTCCCCCATTTAAAGCAGCTATAGAGGCAGTAGAGACCTACGTGGCAGCAAAAGATAAAAAAATAAAAAAACAAAAGATGAGTTTTGCACAACATGTATCATTTTAAATCATAATTGATTAATGACCCACACTCTTATAGCACCTCTCAGAGTAAGGACTCCAAAGCACTTTACACTACAGTGTATCATTCATCCATTCACACACACATTCACACACTGATGGTGATGAGCTACGATGTAGCCACAGCTGCCCTGGGGTGCACTGTCAGAGGCGAGGCTGGCGAGCACAGGCGCCACCGGTCCCTCCGACCACCACCAGCAGGCAATGTAGGTTAATTGTCTTGCCCAAGGACACAACAGCACTTAACAAAGTTTTCTCTCTGTATTAAAAAACGGAATCAGTAACATTACCATGTACCCGATGACATCAGACTCATTCTCCTTTGCCTTTACTGGATCCCAGCTTAATGAAATGTTGTTGCCCTCTTGAATCCACATCAGGTTGTTTGGAGGCTGAGCAGGAGCTATGAAGATATTCACAACACATCCAAACAAACATTTTAATACTGTTTCACCCACCCAGCTGAATTACTCAATGTTTGGTGAAGATATTTCAAAGCAATTTTTACAGGTGGCACGCACTCTGTGAAGAGGATTATTTGATTAGTGTGAGTGCTGCACTCACGGGATTTCCTAGTCTTGGCTGTGATAGGAGCACTGTCGGGACCCTGGCCGATGTTGTTGAAGCCTTTCACCGTGATAAGATAGATATTGTTTCCCTCCAGTCCTGTCAGGACCATGGATGTTTCATTTTTTACTGTTTGCTGTTTTTTTCCAGACTCTTCCTGCTCAGATTCCTTCCAGTAGCTGACCTGTTAACAGAAATAAAGACTGCAAAATAAGTACCCTGAAACCTCAGCAAAAACACAGAAAGACACAAAAGTTAGTGCAAAATAGAGCAAGACTCTTAATAAAGACCTCATATGCTCTTGGCCTCCCAGGGCCGGGATTCGGTGGTTTCCAAGACACCCTTATTTCTGAAGAAGAAACGCTGTAGGCTTTTACGTCTGATGGTGCTTCTCTCGGCTCTGCAAAACAAAACCAAATGTGACAATTGTGAAAAGACTGTGACCAAAATCTTAATGGGATGCAACGATCTGTGAACACTATTTGCAAGGGAGTTTTGGCAAGGGAGGTTTCTCCAATCTCTTGTATACAAAGCAAGGTACCTTTGTTCTGCTAGAATTTTTAGCATGTTGGAAAAATATTAGCAGAGTTCTTAAGCATGCTGGGAAAATCTCTCAAACGCCTCTCCAACCCTTACGCTGCCTTTTCACTGGATGAGTAAGCAGTGTGCAACCTAATAAACGTATTTACCCTGCAAGCTCCCTTCTTACCAGTCACATCACCAGAATATTGCAAGATCATGCATGATTTTGGAAGTTCACAGGATAAAATTAAGGAGAAAGATGGTAGCATGTACCCAAAAAGGTCCTTGGTTTGTTTTCTATGTTCACCTCAGGAATGGAGGCGTCACAAGAAATGACAAAAAATCTTTTACTACTGAAGCACCTGGAAATCTCTTTTACTTTGAAAGTTGCCTGATGTTTTACACTGCTGTTATGTTTGACTTCCTGGTTGGATCGATCTGGACTACAGAGGTTGATGCATTCTGGACACATATCGGGTGAAAAATTGACTCCAAGTGTCAATTTAGCGAATCAATGGGACGCTTCACAAATGCAACATTTCTTAGCTGGTAAAAATGTACCCATCAAATATAACAACAGCTATTAACTGCATACTAGCCTTCATGGACGTTATCCAATGCTTTTGCGTCCCGTGGAAAGGTAGGGTTAGCCAAAAGTGCAGGAAAACTTTGGGAGGGATTGGTGGTCAAATTCTGAATACAGTTAAGGTTAATTGCAAATAAAGTGAGAAATAATTAAGAAACTTTCTGACTAAACTTCAACATAAAAGCTGGCAACAAATTCACTGTTGTTCCAAGTTGTTTGCAATTATGTGAAATTCAGCATTTGACTTCAAAAAATGTGTTTAATCTAAAAATTCTGGTGTGATTCCAAGTGACAGAGAGCACATGTTCTCACAGTTTGAGGTGTTTAATAATTAGTCCTAAACAGTTGCTGGCTTTTATTTGATTGGTTGCCAAACCCTCAAGTTGTCAAATTTTCTTGCACTTTGTAATTCACGAAAAACAAACTGAGAAGGGTTCCAGATGGGTTTGAGAAGTCTGTAAAACTCAACAATGTGGAGAGAAAAAAGTCTTGCAATTAATTTAAAACTATTTAGGAACTCAATTGGGAAAGCTCTACAGCTTGTATCTCACTGGACCGCAACTATCTTTAACAGATGATAAACATGTATGAATGTTCTGAATCCACCCAGTTACGAACTTTGACTCACCCCCTTCTGCAGAATGGATGATGACAACTTTGCTGAAAGGCCCGTCTCCTTTATTATTGTACACGCCGACTTTCACTTCAAATGGCGTAAGGGGAGGAAAAGTCTCATCCCTATATTTATACATGGTAGCATCTGCTGAAGTCACCATCTTCTCCTTCCAGCCTCTTGTCCCATTGGCACGAAATGCAACTATATACCCAAAGCCCTCGCCATTTTGGAATTCCTCAGACACTGGCTGAAAACATGGAAAAAATAAGGAGAAATCACTACATTTGCACGTTTTGTCATCTGGACAAGCCTTCGAATGAAAAGAAGCAAAACAACAAAACATCTGGTTTTCCCCAATGATAACGCCTTATAACCAGATTTCACTTCCCTAACCATTTACTGTAACTGCCTGCCAACGCTAATAACGATGCAACCAGCCTTGAGTAATGGAAACAAATCATATTTGGCTCACTTGTGCCCATTATGCAGCTATTTATCTTTCAGTGTTTGACAGGAGAATTTTTGCGAACACCGGTTTTTGTTACGCTGGCTTCTGTGATTATCTCCGGTTTTCTTGAAGTGGTGAAACTGGGAGCCATCTTCCACAGCTGCTCTGTGCTTAATCAAATCAAATGCCATTTTATTAAGTGAGCTAGAATCTAATTAAAATATGAGCTGCAGGGATTAAATATTTGGCTTCATTTCATAAATGACAAACACCTGTACAGCAGTTTTTGGCAACAAGGCTGCTGCTAACGCTGTAATGTGTTGATTTGCATAAGCTACTGAGTTACATTGTCCCCTGAAGGCATCACCCACATTAGCTGTAGAGCCTATAGAGGAATCACGCCTGAATGGAGATCTACTTCACATTTGATTCAACAAAGACTGATCACCCTGACTGCCTCATTACTAGGATGATCAGTAGAAATAAATTAGCTTTCATCAACGTTATTATCTGGGCTGGCATTGCTTTTAAATAGATGCCAGAAAGTATTGCTATTTACTAAAAATGCAGGAAGAAATCAGCGGGCTGATTTCAGAAACACTTTGGGGAATAGGATAGCAGCACATAAGAGAGGACACGGGGTGGAAGGGATGTAAGGTAAGACCGCTGGATAAAATGATTGGACCTGCTGGGCTCATCGATGGTGACTACGGGGGCATCACTAATAGTCCTCCCTATGGCTCCTTGAGAAAAAGCAGTCAAACAGTCGGCTCTAATGAGACGTCTGAATGAAGCTGGGAGACTGTTTAGTCATTCATCGTGCCTAATAACCTTGCCCACCATGGCAGTCTAGGCTCTGACAACTCTCCGTAGATGATGGGAAAGGCAGAACTGCCATGCACTCACATGCCTAGACTGCCAACAAGGGCTAACATTCCTGCCCCGTCTCTTTTAATATCCATCTTCATTGATCACTGACAGAGTCCTGATTTATTTCAAAAGGCATTTAGTCGAAACAAGAACAAGCGGGGCAAAGCAAAAACAATTTAAAAAGCCATATGCCAACAGGAGGCTTCTGCATCTAAGTGTAGCTTTTCACTTTAAACTAGTTCTTGAGCACCAAAAATGGTCGGAGAAAAAAAGAGGATTGTTTCTTTTTCAAAACAACAAATCTGAGAAATATTTATTCTGAGTTCAAAGCCCTCTGGAAAAGCAGGGAAGACGCTTAGGGGAGTTGGTGAAGAACATTTATTGTAGGCATGATGTTAAAGGATTGGTAAAAGGATGAAGTGTTCCTCAGAAAGGATGAACCTAACATGTTTTAGCCTTAATCATTTTTAAGGCAGGTACAAACTGTGGCAATGAATACCAAATAAAAATACAACCAAGGACTGTGTTTGCAATTTACCCTTCAGCTAGAAAACCACTGTGCTAAGCACATAGCATTGTTCTATCCTCGTTCACATAAAGTAAACTTTCATCATCTTGGGAGTTTTACAATGTTTAAGTGAGATTATCAAGTATAGTAGCCTAAAGAAGCGTTGAAGGCAGTGAGGGGTGTGTCTGAATCCAGGGGCTGCATCCTGCCCAATAAAGAGGCTGTCCGAATTTGAAGGATACAAAACAAACCCCTGCATCCTCAATTAGGTCCCCAATTTCTCGATTTTTGAGGATGGGTCTAGTGCAGTGGTCCTCAGTAGGCCCCACCCGTGTACTCGTGGATGATGACTTGAAAAAAAGTCATTTAGTCACTGAATTTAGGAAACTTTATAAAAACAAACATGATAAAATCCTATGATTTGATAAGTAAATAATGAAGAAGGATACTGACGAGTTTTGATTGTGATATCATTTGCAAAGACAATAAAGATGTATGCTTGGTTTGTGTATGAAGCCTGATTTATGCTTCTCCGTCTGCGTCAGTGCGGAGACACGCAACTCCATTATCCGTCCTTGCGTAGGGCTCCGGCAGGCACGCAAGTACGTACAGAGTCGAGCCCACTTTTATAAACATCCGTCGAATGAGACGGATTAAGCAAGCTTGTGATTGGTCAGGATGCCGCTGTTGTTTACAGCGCCGCCATTGCAAAGAGAGCCGAGGATAACTAGCGGCAGACACGGAGAAGCTTGAAGAATGCCTCGCGAAAAAACTCTAAAAACATGAACGTTTAATTCTCCAGTGACTGGAGGAGTGAAAAGATGCGCAGCAAGCGTTTTATTTGTGGACGGAAATGACAGGAAATGTGGGTTTAGAGGTGGGGAGCGCATGAAGCGGTGGGAGAATGAGAGACAAATATATCCGTGTTAAAAGTCTCTTATATACACAAAAAACACAATATAAACACACTATCTTGGACCGATACATGACAGGATACCACAGAACAGCGCTACCCCCTCTGTGGTCCTGCCGGGCAATTGCTTTGCAACACTCTCCAGGAGACGGAGAAGTGTGAGAGCAAAACGCTTCCGTCAATCTGTGCGTGTCTGTCCCTTGCGGAGCTGACAGAGAAGCATAAACCAGGCTTAAGGCCATTGGAGGGGGTAGGTCATATAAGACTTCTTCATCCTCCCCCTTTTTTCACTTGGAAGATTGTACTCGTTGATTGTATTGTGAATAATGATGAATGAAATTACTGAGTGAGAAAAAAATTTAACAAATGAAATGAAATGTCCTTGTAAAACATCGCCAACGATTGCCCAAATACTTTTACAATCCTAACGCATCATGGCAAGTTTGCTCAAAGTTCCTAGATGTGTTCTTGCTCCGCCCACTGTATCAACGATGCATCAATGCATCCTTCTGCGTGCTTGGGACAGCAAAGTATCCCATTATGCATTGTGTTGCAAACCGTTATGCTCCGAAGAGGAGAAAACTCATAACTATAGTGTTTCATATCAGAAAAACACAAAGAAATATAAAGTTGTCTGTTATTGTATATAGTTCTGTGTAATCTGTAAAATTTGCTGTCTGTATTTTTATTTATTGTTTCACACTTCACAACCCCTTGACATGCTAATTTGCTAGCCCACTATCAAAATAAAAGCAGCATTGCCTTAAATAACTCTGCTTTGATGGAAAAATAAACATTTTTTTTTCATTTAATTATGGGAAATGCTGGTTATTTACCATACAAATAATAAGTATTTATTGTTATTTTGTTATTTAAAGGACTAACTATACATTTATTTTACATCAGGTTATCCTCAAACTGTAGAATCAAGCGGCGCTTGTTGGCATGACACAACAGTACAGTTCTGTTCCAAATACCGTCCTTGTCCTACCATACCTGGTGGGACATACTTTCTGGTGTACTAACCAAGAACATAGTAGCATCATTGGGTACCGAGAAACGGCCTAGATGTCCAAATTTGCAACCACTCACTTCCGGTTTCAGCGGTTGAGGAAGGCCTCAACCTAGAGTAGCTCAGGAGGTAGAGTGGGTTGCCTCATGATCGGAGGGTTGTGGGTTAGATTCTAGCTCCTGGTAGGTGTATTCTGCTGTTGTGTCCTTTGACAAGACACTTCACCTGTTTTGCCTGTGTTGGTGGTGGTCAGAGGGGCAGATGGCGTAAAATGGCAGCCTCGCCTCTGTCAGACGCCCAGGGCAGCTGTGGCTACAAAGTAGCTTACCATCCATACCATACCATAAATAATGGAAAGCGCTTTTGGTGTCTTGAAAAGTGCTATACAGTATATAACCAAACCATTATTATTAATATGGAAACCTCACAAGAATACTGCCCCTGGATTCTGACACACCCGAGGTTGTGGGTTTTGGCTGATAAAGTTGATGGCCTGTGAATACAACTTAGTTAATAAAATAAGAAAATGAATAATATCATTCTTAAAAGGTGCTAGTTCAGAAGATTTTCCAAGGTCATTCCATAATAAATCTACAAAACATTATTTCAATTCTCAGAACGACAAATCGAGGATCAGCATATTGATATTTTACAGTAACTGAATCAAAAGAATGACTTATGTGTTTACTATAAAAATTCTGCATAACATCGTTTTTCCCGATTGACTAGTGTAATATTAGTTGTTTCAGGAGAACAAAGAAGCAAATTTACTAATCAAGGCCCTTTGGATTATTTGCCTTATGACGTTTTTGTGCTCAAAAAGGAGTTTGAATCAGAACTAGTCAGTCTTTTGGTGTGGCTTGACCGTTCTTTCAACACAGGGCTCTATAGAGGTTGTCATTGTGTTATCCTCACCAAGGTAATCACACTTGCGGGTTATAAATAGGAAGCGGTGAACTAGCAAACACCAGCCCATCTGGAAGGGACATTATCCCCCATAATGCGCCACTGAGGTGCACCTCTCCTGATGTGGAGGTTATTTTAGAACCAGTTGGGTTCCATATTTAATAACTACAAGAATAAATGTCAGTTGTCTCCACATCTGTTAGCTCTTCCCTCGTTAATATACCCATCAACCAATCTCAATTGCAAATGATCATCTTTGCTCATCTGGATTCTGAGCATGCTTTCACCCAAATCTGGCTCATAGCCAAGCTGTCAACTTGGTTATGGTACACAATAATATCTCCTTAACTTGGTATAGATTTATTATGCTTCCTATAACCACTGTAGCTGGAGATTACAAACACATATTCATAAACATCCCTGGATTTACTGGGAATGAGTGTAAGAGTCAAGGTTAATCATCGCTGTGCCTCTCTGGTGGGACCGAATCTGAAATTCTCTACGTCTTAATCACTCGTGCCGCTGATGCAGCTTTGTGTAGTACACAGTGCAGCTGGCCCTCTTTGAGCTTCATCAGCAGGTTTGCAATT